GAAGCTCAGATGTTGCCGTATCAGATGACAGGCCGTGATGGAGAGATGGTCGAAGTGAAAGAGTAAAAAGTGATGACGAGGAGGAAAGAGGAGAGGAAGAGGGGAGAAAAGAGACGAGTTCCAGCTGCTGTGTTCATTTGTGCACAGCGAAAGGCCTGTCCTCTGCAACAACCCCATGGAGAGAGGAGAAGAGAGGCCTGGAGGGTTCAGCTAATGCAAAAGAAACAGTTCGATCTGTTGTATAAGGGAAAAAGTGAAGTTAAAAGCCAGAAAAAGTTTATTTAGATAGTTTAAAGGATCTATACTAACTTTAAGCCATGTTATAATGTTGTTACTTCATCAAAAACAGGCCTGGAGTTGTGTTTTGTTTCATTCACATGTTTGAGTAACTCTTTATTATTTGTCTGTCTGCATCTCTAAAGCTCAAAATGCTCCCGTCCACCTTGTGATGTCAAGTTAACAGCTGCTTTTTAACTTTAGTTCAGTAGATATTGGCAATTCCACAGCAGAAATCATCCAAATGATTCTAGTGAAAGTGTGCGGAGTTTAAAAACACAGTGGAGCACTTCCTGTATTAGCACATGACATCACAAGGTGGAACAGAGTGTTTTCAGTTTGACAGTGTTAGGTAGGGGTGTGCAAAAATATCAAAATATCGATGTATTGTTTAAAGTAATGGTACAGTATCGATATCGTGGGCTGCTGTATCGATATATCGCCAAGTCTATTTTTTTGGTATATTTTAATCAGTTATTTTGTCACAGTGCGATAGTTTTTTTTGCTTGTTCAGAAGAAAAAAACTATAATTTATGTGACACATTTGACATTTTCACTGTTTTGATGATTAAAATGTTTGTGTTTCATATGAACTTTACACAAAAAGTGGTTTAACAAAGACTTTTAGTGTCACAGCCATGATTTAGCCACTATTTTTTATTCAACCGTATCGAGTCGATTTGACATATATCGTATCGAACCGAAAAAGCACTGTATCGAGATATGTATCGTATCGTGGCCTATTGTGGTATGTATCGTTTTTGTGTGAATTTGTTATTGTGTGATTGAAACAAAACACAACTCCAGGTTTGTTTTTGATGAGGAAACAACATTCTAACATGACTAAAAACTCACAGTAGTTCGCATAATAAAGGACCATTAAATTTATAGCAGTAAAAAAAATAGCACTAAGTCAAAATCAAACTTTATTTTACATTTTATAGACTTAAACAAAACCCATCTGGAGTTGAGCAATAATCTCGTACATTGTCCTGGAAGTCAATAGATACATTTCTATTATTTACAATTAAGAACAGATAAAATTGTGTTTTTGTTAGATTAAGTCTCAATAATCTTATGTCTTTCTTCATGCACAATTAAGAAAAGAGATTCTATGATGTTTTGCATTGTTACATGGAAGTTGTTCTTGTTGTCAGTCTTTTTTTTTTTTTTTTCTGTTTCACTTTTACATCAAAGGTCAGAGAGGTCCAAAGTTTAACCTAATTAAATGTCAGAAATGTCTGCAGTCTTTCTCTTGTAATAGTTTACAGTTTAACAAAGTAAAAATAGATTCAAAAATGGTAAGAAAATATTGTAAAGATGTAGAAGCATAAAACACCAGTCTCTTGCTATTTTTGCTACTTAATACTACTACTTGAGAACATATTATTTCCATTTATATTGATGTTTTTTGTTATTATATTATATTGTGATGTGTGAGCTACTGTGTCCAAATAATTTCTCTTGTGGATCAATAAAGTTTGTCTAAGTCCAAGTCCATGTAGTATTATCATAAACACTGAAAGACAAAAAAATATTGTAGACCCCACAAAACCCTTTTAACTTTTAATGAATGTCTTTTCAAATTGGTTCAAGTTCAACAAATGCTCAGCTCAGCACTCAGGTCTGTACTTTATGACTGTCTGGGCAATAATGACTGTGCATTTTGGTTGTAAGTCACATCCTTCACCACCAGATGGCGACATGAGGACAAAGTGAGTGTTGGAATGCAGCGAGGAGGCGTCCATTTATCTTCATTGGATCTGTCAGAGCATTTCATCTGCGCTGTTTCATTATGGGCCTCTGCTCCTGCTGCTGCTGCTGCTGCTGCTGTGTCTCAGATCTCACAGAGGTGCAATGCAACAGCCTCAACGACGGACTATTTATCCCACCACAATGAAAAATAATATTGATTGGAATTGGAATGACTGTGCTTATACGCCTGTACTGCAGCAATGCCCACGCAACTGCAGACATTAGTCATTTGGAAAAAAAAAAAAAGAGACAGAGGAAAAAAAGTCAGAAAGAAAAAAGAAAGGAATGAATGAAAAAATACATACAAATAAGTAACAATAATAAATAAATAAATAGACTTATAGACAAACTTTATTGATCCACAAGGGAAATTATTTGGACAAAGTAGCTCACACATCACAATGTATTATAATAACAAAGAGCAAGAATAAATGAATAAATATCAAATCAAATCAAACTTTATTTATAGAGGGCTTTTCATACAAAAATGCAACACAAATAAATAGCATGAGATTGGTGTCAAATAACGCACAATTATATAAAAATATTGATAAATACTTAAATAAATAAGTAACCGGTGCTCCTGTTTAGCCTATAGCTGGCCCATCCATTCTAATATTTGTAAATATTATCAATCAAACTTATCATAGCACGAGGGCGTGTGCTGCTATTTGTTGACTATACAAAGGTTTAAGTGAGCTTTAAGCCGTGTTATGATTTCCCCATCAAAAAAAAAAAAAAAAAAAAAATGGGGTTGTGGAGTTGTGTTTTGTTTAATTAACACATGTTTTAAAAAAAGAAAGAAAGAAAGAAAGAAAAAATCCTGCTTTATTACATTTTTATCTACATCTCCAAAGCTCAAAATGCTCTATTCCACCTTGTTGTGATGTCATGAAACAACCTTTTACCATTGGTTTAGTAGAGGTAGGAAATTCCTGAGCTGAAATGATTCAAATCATTCTTGTCTTTACTAAAATCATTTGTGAGTCATGTGGTAATACAGGTAATGCTCGTGTTTTTACTGAGCTGAACTGATCCAAATGATTCTAGTGAAGACTAAAATCAGCTCAGTGATGCATGAGTATTACCTGTATTACCACATGACGTCACAAGGTGTGTTTTCAGTTTCAGTGTTTTCAGTTTGAGACAAGAACTTGGCCTAAATATGAAGATATATGTTTCTGTGTTAAACATGTTACTTAGCTGTCATGCTGTCATGTTGTTTACAGGCCTGTCCAGGTTATAACTGCAAATGTTTGTTTGTTTGTTTGTTTGCTTGTTTCCAGTAATTGTAAATATTATCAACCAAACTTTTCAAAACACTAGGACATGAGCTGCTATTTGTTGACTATACAAAAGTTCACGTCAGGGGTCTCCAACCTTTTTCCTCTGGTGAGCTACCTTCATGAAGTGAAAATGCCAAAGAGCTACTCATTTTAGCGGATGCAAGAAAATGAAAAAGTTGAAGAGCTATGACAAGTGTTAGACGAGGTACAGTTGGATGCCTTTTAAATAGAAAACATTACCCATTTATTACCGCGCAAGTTACGCATCAAAATGGTATTTACAATGGTAATAAATCAGATTTTAGTTCTTAAGCGCAACACATTTAATTCAGAAATCATCTGGTGATACTTAGAAGAGGGTGAAGATCCGTGGTTTATGTGTGTTATAAATGGGAGGCCATAATAATAAAGGATGAGGACTTATATCTTATTTGCTATCTTTTTTTGCTACTTATTTAGAAATTTATTATCACCATTTATATTTATTTTATTTTACTCTTTGTTATTGCATTATATTGTGATGTGCGAGCTACTGTGTCCAAATAATTCCCCTTGGATCAATAAAGTTTGTCTAAGTCTAAGTCTAAGTCTACTAATTGGCATGTTAACAATGTTTTTATAATAATTGTAAATATTAACATCCAAACTTGATAAAAGTTTATGTTTTTTATGTATGCAGCGCAGAGATAATTGAGGATGGGAACTTGTGTCTTATTTGACACCTGTCTCTTGCCATCTTTTTTGCTGCTTATTATGAATTTATTATTGCCATTTTGTATTTTTCTATATTATATTGTGATGTGTGAGCTACTGTGTCCAAATAATTCCCCTTGGATCGATAAAGTTTGTCTAAGTCTAAGTCTAAGTCTAAGTCTACGTCTACTAATTGACATGTCAACAAGTTTTGTAAATATTATCAACCAAACTAGATAAAAGTTTACGTATTTTATGAATAGAAGACAGAGATAACTGAAGATGGGAACTTATGTCTTACTTGACACCTGTCTCTTGCTCTTTTTTTTTGCTATTTATTTAGAATTTATTACTGCCATTTATGTATTTTCTCTTTGTTATTATATTGTATTGCGATGTATGAGCTGCTGTGTCCAAATAATTTCCCTTGTGGATCAATTAAGTCTTATAACTCAAGACAAACAGAGATAAGATAATACAGATAATACAGGATGAGGACTTATGTTTTATTTGTTATCGTTTTTGCTTCTTATTTTGAATTTATTATTGCCATTTATGTATTTTTCTCTTTGTTATCATATTATATTGTGATGTATGAGCTGCTGTGTCCAAATTATTTCCCTTGTGGATCAATTAAGCTTAAATCCAAATCTTATTACTGCATATTACATCATAATTGAACATGTTAACAATTTTTGTGTAATAATTGTAAATATTATCAACCAAACTTATCATAACGCGAGGAAATGCGTTGCTATTTGTTGACTAGACAGAAGTTTATGCGTTTTATGAATGAGGGGTAGAGATAATTGAAGATGGGGGGATAAAAGAGGGAATCCGCACGCTGTCACGAACCTACCTCCCACCGCTCTCTTCCCCCCGCCCCTTTCTCCTCACTCTGCCTTCCCATTGGCTACAGCTAAGCGTTCGATGCGCTGTGATTGGCCGAGAGGCACGTCGCTCGCACGCTGGCTGTCGGCTCTATGCTAATGAGAGGTACAGACGCGGAACAGGGAGAAGGAGAGCATAGCGGGCATTCAGAGGAAGCCCGTGTGTCCTTCACAAGTTACTCGCACAATTTTCTACCTTTCGGAGCTTGCTGTCGTCTATCCTCGAAGAATCACACGCAAAAATGGCACAACCGGACCACGCTAAGAAGATATTTTTTGAGAACCTGTCCGGAGCGGGGAAAGCCATCGCTGTATTGACGAGCGGCGGTGATGCGCAAGGTAAAAAGACACGGGTAGTTTTACGCATTTGTCGCTCTTTACGCACACAAAAATCGCTTGTCATCACCCGTACACCTTTCAACAACGACTCGGACGCGGATGTGCGGATGTACACGATTGCGCAGTTGTTAAATTCAACGCGATGCTAGCTCCCCACATTGCTGCTAACGCTAACACACCAGCATCTCTCCACGCTCATTGATTTGACGGCGCGTCGCTGCATCGGATCGCGCTATTACGCAGGAATTAAAGCTTGTCAAGGTCAAATAACTGTGCAGCTTTATTGTAATTAGACTAAGCAAGACGTTTTCCTCTAAAGCTGGTCACGACTCAACTTAAACTGTGCGTTTTATGGTAAAATTTGCGCATTTTTGGAGACGGATACGCGCGCAATGCCGAAACTAGGATTTGGTTTTCATTTAAGTATCGAGCTGTTAAAAATAAGATTAGTGGCAGAGGATAGAGTTTAGCCGCAGTGGAGGGATGCTCGTATCCTGTGTACGTGATGAGCAGCATACATTTTTTTTTTTTTTTTTTTTTTACTTGCGTCTCCTTTGCGCTCTGCGTCACGGAGGAAACCCCAGTCAGGTGCTCCCCGGCTCGGGTCCTGATTGGTTTAAAACGCCCCCAGACAATTATAGCGGTATCCAATTAGAGAGACAATTACGCTTTCACGAGCGCTTTTGAACGCTGGCCAGTGAACTGTATGAGAATGGCATCCTTTATGTGGGTCTGTAGTCTTTTTGGGTTATGTAACTCCAACGAGGGACCGCGCAATAGTCTAGTCTGTGCCAACAGTGGAGAGAAAAGACGAAAAACTTGAATGTACATGTATTTATGCTGACTTTGAGTTTGCTGATGAAGTTGATAGAGGCAACAGGTTGTAAGATTGTAATGGTACGTGCATGAATTAGGTTTAATAACTGCTCATTCTAGTTCTGTCTTGAAATGAGCCCCCGTTTAGTCCTTATGTAATGTTGGTTTGGTCCATTCTAGTCCTGGTTAAGTCCTGGTCAAGTCTACGTAGGTTAAGATCTGCTTTTAGTCCTAATTTTCATATATCTGTCCAGTGTGAACTCAGTCAAATTGTACAGAAACGCTAAACATCTTTCTATAAAATTTGGTGCATTATTCATTCACTACTAGGGGTGTGCAGAAATATTGAAATATCAATATATAGTATCGTTTAATGTGATGATACAGTATCGGTATCATGGGCTGCTGTATCGATATATCGCCAAGAGTATGTTTTTGGTTTATTTTACTAAATTATTTTGTTACAGCGCTTCAGTTTTGTTCTTTGTTTAGCGGAAGGAAACTTGTTTATGCCACACGTTTGACATTTTCACAGTTTTGATGATTAAAATGTTTGTGTTTCTCAAATCTACTTTGCACAAGAAGTGGTTTAACAAAGACTTTTTGTATCACAGCCATGATTTAACCTTTATTTTTTATTGAATCATATCGAATCAATATCATATTGCATTGAAAGTGCGCTGTATCGAGGTATGTATCATAATGGCAACTTCTGAATGATACCCAGCCCTATTCACTAGAGTAAGTCAGTCTCTCATTTATATTAAAGGTCCCATATTGTGTTATTTTTAGTTCTGGGTATCATTCAGAAATTACTCTGAATCTTGATACAGTGAGCTTTCGATTTGATATGATTCAAGACGATATATTACAATTCGATTTGATACGGTTCAATAAAAAATAAACGATTTTAGTATCATGGCTGTGATACTAAAAGTCTTTGTTAAACCACTTCTTGTGCAAAGTTCATATGAAACACACTAATTTTAATCATCAAAACAGTGAAAATGTCAGATTTGTTGCATAAACGAGTTTCCTTCCTCTAAACAAGCAACAAAACTGTAGCGCTGTAACAAAATAATGTAGTAAAATACACCAAAAAATACTTGGCGATATATCGATACAGCAGCCCTTAACACTGACACTGTATCATCACATTAAACGATACGATATATCGAAATTTCAATATTTTTGCACACACCTGGTTATTACTTTCTCAAAATCATACCTGGAGTTGTGTTTTGATTCATTCACACACGTTAGTCTGTCTACATCTCCAAATCTTAAAATGCTCTGTTAGAATTGCAGTTTTCAAGTCAACAACTCCGTTTTTACCTTAACTTCAGCAGATATTGCCACTTCCAGGGTTAAAATCATCCAAATGATTTGAGCGGAGATGTTTGGAGTTTAAACCACACAGTGAAGTAATTCCACAAAACACAACTCCGGGTATGTTTTTGATGAGGATACAACGTTATAACAAACCGAAAATAGCTTTTTATGGGCCTTTTAAGTCAAGGTAGGTGAAATGTCTCGCCCAAGGACACGTAACATTAACTTTTAACAATACCTGTTGCTGGAATTTACCCAACAACCTTTCAGTTAAAGGGGTGAATAAAATGATACTCTAATACGTTGTTGCATAAGACCAGTCCAGACCTGCCATCGCGCTAAATACATGTAATTGGCTGCTGTTTTTTTGTTCAAAGAATCTGCCCCAACTGTCTGGACTAGTTTTTCATGATCAAACGCTGTAATTGTATTTTACCCCCGTATTTAATTAAACAGTGTACGTGCAACAAAGCCTATTTTTATTCTTTGGTGAATGCCTAACACGTGTGCTCCCTTCTTACTCATTCATTCCTACAGGGTGATTTCTGAATGACTAAACCAGCACCACCACATCTTTCAAAGCACGTAGCATTAGCGTGTCCCTCCTCTGTGCACAGCGAGACAGGAGCACGCATGACAGGACCGGTGCCCATAAGGCCTCTGTGCACCCAGGGCCTTCCACTCTGACTGAATGCTAGTCACGCAGAAGAAGCGCCGCGCACAATAAACGCCAGCGCCACGTTTTTACAAGTCGAATAAACCACGAGGATTGTAACAAACCAGTTGATTTTATAGTGCAACTAGTGCTGAAATTTCAAACTCTATTTCATTGTATGGTGTCAAACCTTTCTATCTTCATGGACACCAAACTAGATCAAGTTACAGGTCAGATCTGTGGAGAGGCGACCCCGCTCATAGTCAAAATCTGTGTTTTTCTAGGTATTTTTGAGCTATAAAATCACCTGTAATTGAATAAATGTAAGATATTGAGTATTTCGACACTTAGGAACAAGGCTGGGTATCATTAAGAAGTTGCCGATACGATACATACTTCGATACATAGGCCACGATACGATACACATCTCGATACAGTCCACTTTCTGTTCAATACAGTATATTTCCAGTCGAGATTCAATAAAAAAGGCCTAATCTGTGATACTAAAAGTCTTTGTTATGCTGTGATACAAAAGTCTTTGTTAAACCACTTCTTGTGCAACGTTAATATGAAACACGCCCATTTAACTCATCAAATAGTGAAAATGTGTTGCATAAACGAGTTTCTTTCCCCTTAACAAGCAATAAAACTGTAACTGTAACAAAATAATTTAGTAAAATAAACCAAAAAATACTCTTGATGGTGTATCGATACAGCAACCCACGATATAGATACTGTATCGTCATATTAAACTATATGATATATTGATATTTTGATATTTTTGTACACCCGTACTTAGGAGAAGGCTTAGTACACAATTCTAATTTTGATACCACAGTAGTCTCCATAGTGGTTTCATTAAAGGTGCACTGTGTAACTTTTACGTGGAGGGTCTGTCATCTGATTTTTTTGCCATGGAGATGTTATTGCTTTGCCTGAAATTAAACTTATCTTAGCAGTGTTTTTATATTCATGGAGATATATATGTTTATTGCAACACTGTGGAGCATTCTGGATAAAGCAACAACATCTCCATGGAGATGAGGAGGTAAGCGGACCCGCCACCAGATAAATTACCTTGTGCTTCGTACATCGGGGTTGATAAAGTTGAAGATTACTCTAAAACTGTTTCAGAAAAGTCCAAATTTGTCATTTTATGTGCTTTTTTCAGTAAGATACTTGTTACTAGGGATGTAACAATAACCGAAATATTGTGATATTGTATCGTCAAAAGTCTCACAATAATACTGTGGGGCGTCACAATATATCAGATTACAAGTTACAACTGGCAATAGCTAATAAACATTTAGGAACTACATATCCCATGATTCATTTCAGCACAGACAACAAGAAATTAGATGTTTTTTTTTACTTGAATTCTTGGAATTATGACAGTAATAATTCACACCATATTCTTGTCAGGGTATTTTAAAAGCAAAAAAGCGTCCTATATCCAATTATAATAGCCTCCACAAAATATCACATTAACTAGGGATGTAACAATAACGGAAATATCGTGATATCGTATCGCCAAAGTTCTCACAATAATATCGTGGACCATCACAATATTTCGAATTACAAGTCTCTTTGCTTAAATTAAGAGTTATGGTGCAGAAATAGTAAAAAAAAAAAGACAGAGGGAACTACATAGACCATGATCCTTTGCTCCATTTCAGTGCAGACTACATGAAGAAATAACAGTTCTAAGCACTTTTAAGTCTTAGTTCTTTGGATTAAGTCTTGTCAAAGCATTTTAAGAGGAAAAAAAAGCATATTTATAGTTTTAGCTGTTTAGCCTCCACAAAATATCGCAATAAATATCGAACCGTGAGATCTATATTGTGAAAATATCATACCGAGAGATTTGGATATTGTTACATCCCTAATCGTGAGCCTCCCCATCATATCGTGAGCTTTCCCACGATATCGCAATAAATATTGTACCGTGAGGTTCATACCGTGACGATATCGTATCGTGAGACTTGGATATCGTTACACCCCTAACAATATCGTACCGCGAGATGTGTATCGTGATAATATTGTACCAAGAGATTTGGATATTGTTACATCTCTACTTGTTACAAAAGCGTATAATTTCTAATTTAACTAAAGCTTCATTCACTGGTTTGGTCCTGATGTAGATTTGGTTTGGTCCAGTTCCGTTTTAGTCATTGTTTAGTCCAGGTCAAGTCCAAGT